TGTATATGGGACTTTAAGGATGCAGGACACCTATAAGAGTGTAAGTGGTAAATGGTACTGTTGAGGTTCAGTAGCAAGGTTCTGGCTCTGCAGGATATTCCAGTACAATATGGCGTGCTAAGAGGTGGGTCAGAAAATGCACAGGCAGGGAATGAAAGGAAATGAAAAAAGTGTGTGGCAGTGAGGTTACAGCAGAGGTGACAGTGCCCACTCCGCTGCATCTGCATGGCTTAGTTTTTGCATGGGGACAAAACAAAAGCCTGTCTTCATGCTGTCTTGTAATTTATTGAGGAAAAGCTGGTTTTATGTTCTATCCATTAGGCCATGCTTCCTCTGTTAACTCCTAAACGGTAGGGATTGAGAAAAAGGTGAAGAAGAACATCTCTAAATTTTCTGGTGAAAAATAAGTCTTAGAGTTTTTTTCATAAAGATTTCATGGCATTTATTGATGGGAGAAAGCACATGGAAAGCAATTGTTTGTCATGCATACTAATGGTGAGATACTGGGCTTTCCATATTTATTCCACAGCATGTTGTTACTTGCAGCAATGCAGAGCGGGTCCATTTAGGGGAGGGGAGTGAGGAAGATAAGGGAATGCTGAATGCTCTTAGGCTTTGTGGTGCTTTTGGGGCTGGGACTAAAAACTTCAGCACAAAAATTAATCTGCACATTTATTGGTATTTTTTTTCTTTATAGAGCAAAGCCTAAGTAATGTATTTGTATGGTAAATGTCATAATTTCTCAGTTGGCTCAGTTTGAATATTCAGTAATTATTCTCTGTGATGCTTGTGACCATACTGAGGTTTTATTCAAGAGCCATTGAAATAAGCACCACAATGGGAAAGCTACTATTTTAGTTTTGTTATCGTTTTGCTTAGGCCACATGCACAGTGCTGTTCTTCATAGTTGAAATACTTTTCAAAGATATTTCAATGAATTCAGAAAATACACAATAGAACTAGAGGATCCAGTGATTATGGCTGGTAATTATATTGTGGATTCAGGTGCTAACAAAGCCTAACATAATCTGCTTTAATTAACTAAATTATTTTTTCTCAGTAATATGGTTAGAAACATACGTGGCTGTTTCTCAGGGACCTTGTACCAGTGTTCTTCCTTTTATCATAAAGTCACAAAGAAGAGCCAAGTTTCAGCTTATTTACACAACAAAACTACCGTATCCTTTAGAAGGAACAATCATGAGAAAAACGCGTCTACCATACCCTTTTTAATCCTCTAAAGACTTACGTGTATGCTTCAGTGAGTCTTTCCACATGCATAAAGCAGACAGATGACAGCCTTTAAGAGTAAATTTTAAAGAGCAAGAGAATAAAAAACCCCCAAACCCTACTACCTGGAATATGGCATGCACTTTTTTTTAGTAACAGACAGATGAAATTTGACTGTGATGTGAGTGCTGGAAGAAACTTTGCTTCCATGGATCACCAGTAGTCATTTTGTGATTCATAATGGTAGCAAATGTGTGAGATCAGCTTAGAAAAAGGAGCACTTAAGGCATGAGAAGTTTACATTCACTGGGGTGACGTGACAGAGGTGAAGGGAGAGAGACAATTTTGTAGCAGGAATGAAAATTAGTCAGGATCAATAGCATAAATAAAAATGGGCTAGACATGTAACAGCACACACAGTGAATGCGGACTTGTCTATGGGAACCCAGCCTTTCAGCAGGCTTCATGTCCCTTGTGAATTTGTCTTGTCTTTGTGTGCTGGAGAGATATTTGTTTCCATAATTTTTGTTAAACAGAATAGTCTGCATCTAAACAGTTGACTCTTAATTTTCAGCACTGTGGTCTGTGGTTGTATTACTGTTGGTATAGGTTATGTATTTTGTATAATTTGAATGCTTGGTGGAATTCATGTTCTATAGTCTTAACTCCTCAACTAAATTATCCAAGAATATCCATGGCAGTTTATATTTTGGGTTTAAGCTGAAATATTTTCTTGGCTGCTCATTAAATCAGGAATCTGCTCCCTAGAGTATTTATTTCAACAGAATGTAATCAGGGTGATTTACTTCGCAAGGTATATATGAATATATGCGAATAAAGAGAGACATCATAATTTCAGTCACACTTTAGATTACCTTGGGAAGTTTGTTTCAGTATGTAGTGTATGCACGAGTTGATGCACATCTTCAACTAAGGAGAAGGAATTTTCAGTTCTTCTCTTTTCTACACATAGAATTTCTACAGCTTTCTGTTCTGTGAGAGCAAAAGTGCTTTGCATACTTGGCTTCTGCCTTATTTAAAGGCCCTATCCAGTACACCTTGGCTAGAGAGGATCTCAGCTGTGCTATACATGCTTAGAGCAATAGCGAGGTTAAATCAAGGCAATAATGAGGAGACCTTCAAAGTTTGCAGGCTGACAGATTATATTTCTATCGGTAAGGGGGTGGGGTTTTTAAAAAAGCCAATATAGAAGATTAGAGAATGGAAAAATGCTTAAGTGGTTATACTTTAAGATGTTGGGAGTCAAAAAATGGTGGAGTCCAATATACAAATAAAGATTTAAAAGATATAAAAAAATTGAACAAAGGTGTCTAAGAAATGGAGTAAAGTTAATCAATAAGTAGTTCTTTAAATATGCACTGTACAAAATAAACAACAAGGAAAGAAAGCATTGATCAGCATGTGTTGAAAGCTTTTTGACAGGGATTAATCTGACTACACAAAAGACTTAAATCTTCACATATTTGTTTGAGCAAGATAATATTGTCTAGTCTCTGACTTGCTTTTATCTTGGTAAGACATATTCTACAGCATCTTTAACAAGACAGTGATAGCTATTCAGGACTGACGAAAGAACATAGCTGCATTAAACTCACAATTTCTCAAAAAAATAACAAAAGGAAAAAAAAAGAAAGTATTTAATGAGGACTTAGGTTGCCAGTAAATCAAAATTAAGCCTCTTTGCACACATTACTTAAATCAGTTTCTTTTAATACATAGATTTTTTTATATATATTTATACGCACTATTTGAGTGAAATTACAGTTCATAAGTATGTATGTTTTAGTTGTGGTCTTAGGCAGTAGGTGCTGAAATTGGTATTCAGGCAGAATAGATTAACAATTGCTGAACTGAACAATTCAAGTATTTGCAGTGTGATCCACCTCAACATAATAGTTCAAAATTTTTAAGATTAGTCCTTTGTGTACTGCAGTGGAAATGGAAGGTGGATAATTGTGTTTACACAGGCTAGTAAAAATAAACAGACAAAACAAAAAAAAGAAATTAAAGCCCCAAACATTTAATTCATTGCTAATGAGGATTTGCTGTCTAGATTCAGATTTTGTACATGCCCATGAGGAATGAGCCTAAAGCTCTACTGGAATCAGTTTTACTGCAATGTTATCAGGATTTCCTACTGAATTACAACCTTTCCAGATATATTTCAGACATGTAAAAAGTGTAAGTTACTATATTTGCTTCTTTTTAAGACAATATTTTCGAAGTAGAACTTTCAGAATTTCAAAATTAAATGAGGGGGAAAAGTTGACAGGAGCTGAAGACATTTTCCATCTTAGAAATGGCTTCTGAATCACTGTGGTATTCTTTGAGTGAGCAAGTAAAGAAGTCATTAAGAAATAAAGTTTTGGTACTTGTAATTTTATTTGAAATAGCTTATGAAAAAGGACTAGGACTTTTACAAGAGGCAAGTGACTGTATTTAAGATTCCAAATGTTTACTAGCAGCACTGTGATATTCCTTCTTGAGAAATTAATAATTAGTACTGATTAGGATACTGCACATAGTCTTCAGTCATTATGACACCAGATAGTATTTGACTGAACTTCCAGCTAGGTGTAGATTTTTTTCAATATTTGCCTAAATTCACCTTGATGTTGTCATACAATATTTTATTCTTGTGAACCTGAGACTTACGAACCTGGAACATGGAGTTACTGTCACCTACTTGACATGTGTGTCTGGTATTCATATTAATGGGGGGGTGGTCTGCACTGAAGATCTCCAACCTAGAAAGGCAATGTATGTTTGTTGGTGTATGGTGCTTGTCCTGTGCTTTGATAATCTTATGTGTTGTGTTTCTACCTAAAATATATGAATGAAAATACTGGTTTGTATGTTGCATGTTTGGAGAAACTGATCTTAAAAAATAACAATCTGGTTAGCATGCTAGCACTTTGGACTGGAGAAGCAGTTGAAATAATAAAAATAAAATATAACACTTAAGGAGCTGTTGATGAATTCAGTGTGTGAAACTCCAGTTGCCTATCAGCTTCTGTCTGCTGTCATGAATGAGTCTTTTCTTTTCTTAGCTTTTTTCTCTTTTTTTTCTTTCATTCTGTTCCTGTTTTAAAATTAATTAGAAGATTATGAGATTTATTAAGGAAACTTCTTTTTAAAAAATAGACTCCCATGAAAGCAATATCTGGTGCATTGTAGCATAGTAGTCACTGGGTTCCATCCAAGTTGATTGAATTAATTTTTTACTGTGGTATGTTGTACATAAGCTTCAAGTACAGGGAATGACATGGGAGTAAGGCACTGTAATCACCATTCGGTCAAAAAAAAACCCCTTACATTTTGGGGGTAGGTAAAAAAGAATTCTGAATCTTATGGGACCTTGTGAGAGCTCTGATGGGTCTTCCCTTAAGCCAGAAAAACTCCATGGTTCTAGGGCTCTTTCTCCTATTGACAGTAGAAGCTTTCTAAAAAAGCTGAAAAATAGCATGTAGGGCAGAGAAAATATTAAACTATCCTGGGTTTTATTATTATTCATCTCTCAGTGTGTATTGGAACCATATTCTAAAACTTTCCTAGGAGGCCACGACTCTGTGAACCTTACCTAGATGAGAGGTTCAGAGAAGCATCCATTCTGTTGAGGAATTGGCCAACCCAGACTGCCAAATCTCTTGTATCTGTCCATCATTAGTGAAACCATGATGTGCTGAAATCCACTTTTCACAAGTATTGTTTTCTGATGCTTTCATAATTCTCAATTTTGCTGTTCACAGAGAGCGAAGAAGTGTACCAGCGCCAAGTGCTGTCTATTTCCTGTATCGTCTTTGGCATAGTCGTAGTGGGCATGCTTTGTGCAGCGTTCTACTTCAAAACAAAGTAAGAGCCTTCGTCTAGCGTGTTTGTTATTTAGCTTCTGTCCTTTTTACGGCTTTACAATTCTTCAGCTTCTCCCCTCCTTTTGAAGCTGTTGTTATCTCTGGACAGGCTAGAACAGTTCCCCATGGCTACACTATTTAAGTTCAAAAAAAAAAAAAAGTAAACAGGAGTAATATGTCTTCTTGTTTCAATTTTCTGACATCAGGAAAGAAGGGATTGTGTCCTTTTCAGCTCTTTTTTTGACAACAATAATTTTGTGTCTTTTACTATCAGTGCGATAATCACTTTCCTCTTCTGAAAATAAGTTTAAACATACCATCTCCTTTTTACATTTCATTTCATATCCCTGAATGTTCCTTTTGTTTCTGTATGCTGAGAACAAAGGTAGAGTTAGAAATGCAGGAAGAGACAAGTTCTCTGCAGATATCTGTAACCTGCTAATAGTTGTAAACTGCTGACGTAGTTGCATAATGAGTATCTGTAATGCGCAAGCATATTGAACTATGCAGGTATGGTGGAATCATCTGTACTAAACTATTTTCAGGTGAAATACTCACTTTCCACTCTATCTTCCCAACTGAACATTATTTTATAATATTTATTGTTATGTGTGTAATTTGAGTTGCAAAAACCTCATAGCAATTACATTACATGCTTGTCAGTGCCACTGTATCTATAAATATGTTCTGTATGGTTATCATCCCTCATTCCTATTCCAGCTGGAGCTAATGAGAGAACACATATGAATATAAATAGTACCTGCGTGAAGTTAGTCACGGTGGCAGAGCATCAAAAATGTGGAGGTTTGCGCTATTTAAAAGTTTGGATGCTTATCTGAATCCCCCTTTTTAGAATTTATTTTAATGGGTAGGAAATCTGATGAGGACTACTTTTTATTTAAAAAAAAAATAAAATTGACATTTCTATCAGGAAAAAAAAGAAGTTGGAAAAATCACCAGGTCTTTTTTTTTCCCCCTTTTTCTTCCCCTCAAACTTCAGGGGTAGTTTGTGCATGATTTGAGTGAAGGTTTGAGTTGGTTCATGTTTCATCTAAACACTCCTACCTGTTCTAACGTCTTGAGGGATTTTGTTTAATTGTTCTTTGGACCTAGAGTATGACAGTGATGCTAGCTGGGAGGATGCTGTGGCAGGACAGTTTGTCTCTGCAAACTCTTTGGTTGTAGAATAAATTGTGAGCAGACACAGCCATTTTGCCACTGCATTAGAAATGTCATTATGCATTTTCGTTCTGCAGAAGAAAGAAAAAGAGAATAAGGTGTTCCTGTTATTCCTGGAAAGGCTTGGGTTTTTTGGTGATGAAGAGAGATTCAGAAAAGGCAAAATGGGATTGTCAGTTGGAAGAACGTGCAGTCAACAACAGAGCATAGTGTGAATAAAATGTTCCTCTGTTATTCAGCTGTTGCCCTCTTGGTTTTGCGCTGTTGTAGGGAGTGGTGGAGAGCTGGGTTGGAACAGCCTTCAAAATACCATGACTTTGATGAGGTGGTGGGGAGAGCTGTGTCTAAAAAGAACGAGTAGAAATAACACTTCAAAGATGAACTCACAGGACAATAGTGCTTCATCATCTCAGTCGGAGGTGGGGGTGTTGGGTTTGGCTTTTTATCTGCATTATAAATATGATAGTTGAGGGTTACTAGGAAGAGTTGAAGTGTGCTTATGCCAGATTCTAGGAACTGCAGTTTGAAGAGTAATGAGAAAATGAGCACCTCCAGTTGAGTCAAGGGGTCTTATCAAATAAATGAAATGCAGTAATGGTAAGATACTAATCAATCCCTAACTCCCTGGCTGTGGCTCCATCTGGCAAACTGTCCAAAAAGTAAATAAGAGTGTCTAAACTGGGTTGCATAGAGGCCACATAAAACAGTATCATAACTGTGACACTGGCCAGTGTCTTAAGGGTGTAAAACCCAACAAATATAAAGCACCTCAACCCTTATCATATGTTAGCTTTTAGTCCACAGATTTTCAGGAGCTTCTTCATCAGGCAGATGTACCTTGATCATGCTTAAGAGTTATCAAAGCATTCCTCCTGCACGGGGGATAATCCTTGGGTTTAATTTGATATATCAAAAATTTAAAATATTGCTAATAGCTACAGAAACTCTGAATAGTGCACCCTTTAAGAAAAAAGTTTCCATGAAGACACTGGCTCTGACTTTCTTAGTCTGACAATTGTATAATACCTGCTGCTCGAAATGTGCACTTCCCTATGCACCATTAAATTAAAAGTCCTTCTTTAAAATAAATTCAATCTGAGAAAGTTTAGAACTATAATTAAACACTATGCGCTTCCAATTATTCCTTTTAGGGTAATCAAGAAAGAGCTGTAAGTGCTAGCAACAGAGGGAGAGTACAGTAATGGGCTGCCCTTTATGGCTTAGACTTTTATAAATGACTAGTGACTTTATTTCTTGCTGAAGTAACAACACTTTATTGCCAAATATCTCTAAAGTAGAACATATAAGGCCCATTTGTTTTAAAAACAAAAATTATAAAATCAATACTTTAAATGGAGAGTAACTTTGAATTATTAATAGTTTCTAGTTTTATAACTGCATTCTATAGTTTGGCAAAATGAATATGCATAAACCTAATATTAATGTTAGGTTGCATGAACATAAAAGGAAATTAATTATTAGATTGTTTATCTCAGTAAATTACCTTCGGGAATCTCAATTGTAATGTTAAAGATTGCAGCAGTGAAGCTGAATATTCCAGTTTACTTACATGAGTTTATGCATGCGGAAACAACTCTAAACCCAGGTTTTCTAAAGAAATCCAAATTGGAGTTCCAAAAATTTGTAATTTGTTTTGTTATGTTCCTGATTAAATTCCAGGAACATTGTATGTACAGGAGAGATTCCCAAGTTCTGATGCTGTGATCATGTTTTGCTGTCATTGTTTAGACTTTACATGAAGCCTCCACTCAAAAACAGTCATCAAAAAAGACTGGATGTTCCATAACCATTATGGAGACCAACATGCAAGTGGCTGGCTTTCCAGTAGGACATACAGATCCATATGCTTATTTCCTTAGTGTATCTAATTTAGCTGGTCAGAAAATAATTATTCATACAAACTCCAGAGTTGGTTTTGTGAATTTCCCCTGGAAATTAATGAGAAGCCGAAGAGTTCATTTTGCCATTTTACAAATGACATTATTCAATTTCATTGATTTCAAAAATAAGTAGATATCAAAAAATGTTTTTAAAAGAGATGCTTCAGAATCAACTAAGTAATTTAATTTCACAGTATAATCCTTCAGATTATATATCTATTCAGGTTATTCTGATATTAACTTTAGAAGTTATTTTAGCTAAGGAAGAATTTTGAAAGTTTAATGGTTTTGTGCTTGAGAAATTATTTCCTCACCCACCCATATTCATAAATCTTAGTAATTATGAGCTCCCAGCTATACTCAAAACATGCCACTCATATTTGTAACATGCTTACAATGTAAATTCATTCCTTTTCATTTGCCATGCTGTTTCAAAATAGGATGGAAATAGAAAGCATAAGAGATACTTATAGAGTCCGAGATTTATTACAGTTTATGACCTGTTTTCAGGAAACATGCTATAACAAATACCTGGTTCTAAGCAGGTGCTTACAGCTTGTTGAATTTAAGCAAATGCTTAAATTGTGCAGCGCCGGATCAGAACTAAGGGACTCAAAGGCAGAGGAAATCCCATATATTTATTTTAGTATATTAAAAACTATATTATTAAAGTTGAATATCTGAACTGTGATACTTCTTACTGCTTTCTTTCATACTGAGAGAACCTATCCTTTCTCACAGTTTCCCCCCTTGATCGCTTAAGTAAGTAATTTTCCTCTGGTTTCTTACACTTTTCTGCACTAGATACAGACTCCACTGAAAGAAGTTAAAATTACTTTTGTATTTCATTTGGTGTGAAATTCATTGGCCTGAGTCAAGATGCTGTCAACCTTGACAATGTCACAAGGCTTTCAGCAGCAAAATCAGCAGAAATTTTTCAAACTGTTGCTGAAGCTTCTTTGCTAAAATTTCAAATTTCAGTATGGAAAGACTATATTTCCTTTCTTTCTTATTGGCATTTCTCTGAAATCACTTCCTTCTGAAATTTGGCTCTTCACCAATTGCTGTCCAAAAGCTGCTGGTGGCATAACAAAGTGCTGCTGCTGCTGGCAAGTCCTTGACCTTGCTGGGCGGTTTCCAGGGCCTTTGTAGGTTCGCTGCTGGAGATGCATCGGCTGGGGAGAAAAAGGAAGGAAGGAAAGAAGGAAGGAATTAAAATAGTATTGTGGAGTTATTTCTTACGATCATTTAAAACTGATAGGTCTCAGACAATGTAGCTTATCAAAAGAATGGAGACTGATAAAAGACCTGAAATATGTTTTGCTAACAGTTTTTGCTCAGCTAAGATACCTGTTTGCAGAAGATAAATATTTAAAATAAAGTTTGCTGCCTTATATCCTCAATCAAGTACAGAACTTTGAAACTGTTTGTCAATGTAGTGTGGCAGAAACAGAAAGCCTTTATTAATAGTGTAGTTATCTTCTGAATATTGCAAGTGATTCATGTAGTGGTATTCCTAGCCCTGACATAATGAATCATAGTAGAATATGTCAAAAACACAGCCTCAGATACTGTACTGATGGTTTTTTTCCAGGTTTAAGCATGTAAGCAAAAGCTGGTCTATACAAGGCACTGGGTTGTAGGTCAGGTCTAATCAGCTAGCAGAAATCTTTGATTCTTCAACACTTTTTATAACTAACAGGGGCTAATGCCTGCTGTATTTGCCAAAATCTTGTTCCAAATCAGAGCAAAATGCTTTTTAAATATTCAGGCCTACTTGCAAGCTATTGTTAAATATGCAATAGATGATTTAAAAATTTCTGCACTAAACCAACTAGCATGCTATTATAGTAATCTGAGAACAGAAGATATTTTAAAGAGAAGAGCTGGTTTTTTCCTTTCTTAAGCCTCACCAGAAAATGACCACTGCATTGAAATATTAGACACTAGTGAATTAGCTCAGCTGGTTAATCTAATACAGTGAAGTTTTGAACAAAGGGAACCATGGCTATAAAAATATCACGGCTATAGTAGAAGATCAAGCTAGCTCTTTCTTACATGAATTTTATTTCTCTCTGCAGGAAACAAACAAAGCAAATTCATGAACAGCTGAAAGAAACACAGAATAGGAAAACCTACAGCCTAAATGCTTCCAGCATGATGGCAAAGTCAGAGTGTATGGCACAAAGCCGAGTCCAGCTGCAAAATGTAAGTAATTCTGCCAGCTACAACACTTAATAGCCTGGCTGAGTTCCTGCTGCTGATGGCAGCACATCGCCATGTTGCTATTAGCATCCGAGCAATGGGAACAAGAATTCTCGCCTCTTTCATAAAATGTTTTCTATATGCCCATTAATGGAAAACACTGACCAGGGATTTTTTTCCTAAAGTTATTTCAATGGATCCTGGTACATTTTGTTCATGTAATAGACCTTGCTGAGCCCCCTAGCTCTGCATCCAGGAGTGGAAGTAACTATTACAGTTTCCGGCAATACCTTAGCTCATATGTATGGTTTGTAGGTGAAATGGGGGTCCTTGAACGTAAGTGATTTCAAGTCTTCCAATAATTAATGAACCTGCATGAAAAAATGTAGAGATTTGTCACAGTTAATTCAGAGTAAATTCAAAATCTAGAACTCAATTTACAGATGTAAACTAGTGCCCAAGGGAAGAGTGTGCAGATGGTCTCATTTTCCTGGGTCTTGATTTAAAGGGATTTTTGATACCAGAAAGAGATTAGTTTTTCAAACTAATTTGAAATTTATTTAGTCATTTTCTGTGTATAGTTATATGTAAGTTAATAAAATCCCACAATCACGAAATACATACAGCAAATGTGAATTAAGGAACTTGAAGACGACCAATTTGTTTAACCCTGGATGACAGGTATTTTCCAATCCATGTCATTCTTTTCCCCCAGTCATAAACATTTAGTGCTGTCTTATTTTGAACAAAGTCTTTAGAACAACTGAGAAGGTTCCTGGTAGCAATATAATAGGAAATCATAAAAGATGTATTGAAGCCTTTCTAAATGCTTAAGTCTTCTGTAAAAAAAATAGTATCTTAGCTTTGCTTAAAGGGCTGACTACCTTATTTGCCAGATTCCATCAAAATAGTGGGTGTTTAGCAAAAGTGAGCACTCATGCCCACTTAGCCACGGATGTCTCAACTCCTGGTTTACATCCAATTAACGTAGAAATAAGTATAAACCCTTTTAACCAATTGAGAGTAAGCAGAGCCCCCATGCTATGATAGAGGAGTTGTCAAAGCATTGCTTGTGTTCACTAAAAGTTTTGTTTTATAGGAGCACCATTGTGGTCATGATATGCTTTGTGTTTCAGGAAACATATGCTATTTCAAGAAGGAAGATAGCTCCACTAAATTGACATAATCACAGTTTAGGGAATCTTGTGCAATTCTTTGTTTCACTTTCAGTTCATTCAGTCATATATTACTTTTAGCCCCTAAAAAGAAGCTGTTGGGAGCATTGTTGGGTTATAATGATGGCAACAAAAGGTAAAGTTATAAAGAGCCTTTGTGATTTTTTTGTTCTAACATATAAAGTAGGTCTTGGTTATCACTAAGAATATGTTCTTTGCCTTTTTCTCACTGTAATTCAGTGCGATATTTTGTCAACCCATCATCACCGTGAACTATTTGATATCTTCTGCGCAGCTGGCAAACACATCAACAAGCTTTATTTAAGTCTTTTTCTTTTGCCATAACAATAGCCATAGTGGCCGAAGTGGCAGTTTGTAGATTCCAGATATTAGAAATTGAAAACCATTATTATTCTTCATTATTTTAATCCAGATTTGCTTTTCAGCTTTTAATGCTGTTCAGACTGGCATCATCAGTGCTGGTAATTAACACACCATTTTCTTGTTCTTGTGGCTGCTTGCAGGCAGCTCTTTTCCTCCTTGCCATTAATGCATTTTCCCTTTGGGAGCAAAGATACTAAGGAAGAAAAACAGAATGACCTTGTACAGGATGTAGCGTAACAGTGCAGGGTAGGAATGGTTTCTATTGTTAGCAAGATTTTAGTGCAGGAATGCATGAAGGCAGATCATGAAATATTTACAAAACTTGGCATATTGGAGGGGGGAAAAAAGGACAGGGGGTATGGCGAAGCAACACAAAAGAACTTTGAAATGGTATTTCATAGGAATGGCTGAGTGGCTCCCCATCAGAGACCAGAGATCTGCCCTGGGCGTATCTGCTGGGTGGGAAAGGGACCCGGCAGTGGTGTGGGGAGGAGAGTGCTCCTGCTGCCACTCGCTCCAGCGGCTCTGCTGCTGCCTTTCTGCCGGTCACTGCCTGGATGTGATCTCTCTGCAATTCCATTCTGCGGCTCTCACCACATGGGTTTGGCGAGAAATCTTAGTTCTCTTCATTTCCAACAGCCAATAAATAAAAGTAAATAAATTAAGGTGGTTATTTTCTGGAGACTTGGCCTCCAGTCTGGCATTTTGGTTTATGTAATCCTGGAAGCTGTTTCTTTTCCTACTCCAAGTGTTCCTCTTACATGGGAAAACTGTCTTGTTTGTATGTCACCTTTCTTCCCCTAAAAGATTCTCCCATATTTTTCTCCTGCCTATTTTGAATGGACCTGGTGATGTTTTCAGGTTTTTCACCCTGCTTTTTCTTCTTCTAGAGAACACATTAGTGTAGACCTGAGAATAGTTGCATAAGGTTCCTTATTCTTGATGACTATTCTAATAATGTCTATTCTGAAACAGCCATCACATTTTGACTCAGAGGTTGCTACAATTAGTAGAGGATGCATGGATCTTTCCAAATGCTGTGTTGCTCTAGAAAGAGGTTTTATTTATTTTCCAAGACCCAAGGTATAGCAGATAGAGTTTCAAGTGGTTTGTGGCTGTAAAGATCTTGACCAATCTCAGTGAAATACTTTTTCTCCTCATCATTCCTTTTTTCGCTTTTTACCCTTGACTGGACTTAAGCAAAAGAATTATTTTTCATTACTTATTTTCAAAGCCAACTTTGAATCTTTTCTTAAATGAGAGAAGCCATGTGAATGTATCAAAATTGCTGTTAACAGAAAAACCACACATTTTGGTTTTGAACCAAGTATTAAAATGAATTACAAATTTGCATTTTATTCTAGCCTAACTCGTTATACTTGCAGCTGTTTGCATTACTGCAGAAGGAAAAGGACTTCAGACGTCAGTCCCTATGATATCCCACCTCTGTGCCAATTAAAGCTTCTTTACAGTAGTGTGATTATGAGAACCATATACAAGGTTAAAAGCTCTGAATGGTTTGCTTTTAAAACACTCTCCATTTGTATCAGAATTCTCCTGGTGCATCCTAGACTGTGGGTTATGTTGCAGCAATTCTTATTTCAAAAGGCAGTGTTTTAAGAAATGGATTCGAAGCATTGGACATTCCCCCAGGTTCATTAAACAGCCATATGGCAGGATTGCTCTTTCAGATGTGGATATTCAAGTTAAGCAACAGGATATTCAGAAAAAAATGGAGCTGGCCAACTGAAAAATGTAGGCTTTTTAGAACTCCCTTCATTTAAGAAGTTACTCTCTTTGGGGTTTGCCCTCTGTGATCAGCAGGGTAAACACAAGCAAGGAAGAATGGCCACATCCAGCACCTCCCTTGGCAAGCCCCGAGGTTGAGGAAGGATGCAAGGAGAGTTAGGCATCTAAGTTAAAACATGGATGCCTCCCTGTCATTTGCTATATTGCAGCGAATAAAGCTTTTTGTTTGCATAGACAATATTTTGAGGTGACATATGCTTTTCCTTCCCGCACTCAAATGCGTTACACCTCCTCCGCTTCCTTCCTCTGCTCAGTTGTTATTCTGTAAAGTAAAAAAAAGGGTTAGATTTTGTCAGGACAGCTGTATTCTCTCTGAACTCCTGCTGCTCATAGCTGGTAATTGTGTTCACCTGCGCCGAGTCTATTTCTCTCAGTATCGATTCCATTATTTTGTTAGGGATGCAAATTAGATGAAAAATACTGTATACTGTAAGGAGGATTCATAAATAACTGCTTGAACACAGCTCCTAGTGTCTCTTCTGAATCTCCTTCAAGTCCACTGCTTTTCCCAAATATTCTGGCAGCAACACACTTAATTTCTTGCTAGGTTTTCTAGTGTCTTGGATTTGGATACTAATGCACTGGTAATCTTGCTATAATTCTTCAGTCAGGAAAAGATAGATGTGTGAGTTTTTAATGCAGGATCTTTGAGGTACACAGGAGATTCAGATTTATTTCACCTAATGCATGAAACTTAGGACTTCCTAGTATTATGTACCCCTTCCCAAAGAGGTAATATTATCTTCAAAAGATATTTAACAAATGCGCTCCACAGGACTGCAGCAAATGGTTCTGTGTCCTCATAGGCAAAAGGAAGTAAATTGTCATTCTCAGCTGCCCCTCATAGAAAGACAAGTGTTCTGTGTGTCCTCATACACCATGCAAGGGGTGAGAGGAGGTGTTGCAGCCCTCCTTCTGGTTTTCTGTAGTTCACCAGCCTTCATGAGTCTTAATAGTGATCCTAATTACTACCTCCTTTTTCCACCTCAACTAGAGGGTTTCTTTAAATTCTCATAACTTGGCAAATATGTCATGCAATAACAAAAAAAAAAGCAGCTGAAACCTTGCCATTCCTTTAGTGATTCTAAGAGTTGTCATGGTTGTTTAAAGTGGCCTTTTTCACCTTTGTGGATTTTAATACCTTCTCCCACGGCACAAAGTGGATCTATTAATTCCCTATCACTTTCCCTCTAAGGTGGTTAATATGCTTTTCATGCTGTAGTGTGTGGTTTCACTTTTCACTACACTCGTTCCTAATAGCTTGCAATCACTAGCTCCAGGTTTCTGATAGTCTTATAATGAGGGGAGGAAAATGCTCTTTTTTGTGTCTTGTTGCCTTTTGTTGATAGTAGTAGGAAATAAATTCTTTTTAGTCACTGTGATAGAAATGCAATTAATATATGTTGAGCAACAGATACACTTAAATCTTTTAAAAGATTACTGTGTAGTTTTACCTGAGTTGCGATGTGATTTATCAGCTAAGATCAAGAGCACATTTCCCATTTCTATCTCGCATGTCTACTTAGGAAGAACTGCCAGAATAGACAAACTTGAATTTACTGGCCTCTGTCTAGAGCTAGGGTTGGTAACAAAACATATAAAGCATATGGGAGCAGCTGTAAGGAAGTTAAATATACCACCTGATGGGCTTTTGTGCAAGGTCAGCCCGTCCAGAAAAATCACTGGCTCTTTACCTCCTCGAGGCACCCACTCTGAATCTAATTTAAAGCTGACCCCTCTGCCTTCTCAGTCCTTTTTGAAATGGGATCCCCACATCACCTCTCTTCCAATGCCACATGCATTTCTGGACTTTTTATTATTACTATTTTGGGAAAATCATTGAGGAGGAAGAGCTAAGAAAAGCTGGGGGGAGGGATGGGTGCTTTGTTTTGCATAATACTAGGACAAGAGTGTCAAACTGTTCTGTAGCACTTGAGTGGCATTTGTTATCCATGGATCCTACATTTTACAATAAAGGATACAAGGCATAGAGCAGGGGAATTACATGCTCACAATCATACAGTAGGTCAGTGGCAGAGGCTGATTTCTTGTCTCCTGGCCCAGGCTGCCTTTTGCAGATTAGCTTAGCATTAACTAGCAGCATGTGGATTTTTATTGTCAAAGAGCTGAGTAATTGTACATAGCAGATGATTTTCTTCATGAAACCGTGAAAAATTGAAAATTTGCAAAATGGTTTATTTTTAAATGCTATCATTATTCTTTAATTTATTTAGCCATATGCATCAGCGTTTCTCAGTAATTGCTCAAACAAGCACAAATAATTAAGCAAGACAATAAAACCATAAAAAACCAAATACTGATAAGCTTTCAGTGATGTTTTCAACCTACTGGAACAGTCCTTTGAAAGTATTTCACAGCTTATTCTCCATCATGGCTGAGTATTCAGCAGCTCACAACACTCAGAGGGCTCTGCAGAGCTCAGCCCAGGTGAGAACTGGGCTGTGGAAGCAGCGGGATGGGCTCTGCTGGGATACTGATGGGGAGTAATCCTGTAACATACTTCTGGGGGCACCAACGGATACTGCTGTAAACTCCCCGCAGAAATCTGTAGATATTTTCCTCCAGAGATGATCTCAGAGAAAGGCTGTCGCACTTATGGTTAAGCTAAAGGAGAATAAACCCAACGGTGTTTAGACCTATTAAAATGTAAGAACAATGTGATACATCCAAATCAGTTCAATTACATTGTTCAAATTCTCTGTATATTCACACCCTCAATTTAAATCGTGATTCACATTTTTGTTGTAATTAATGTTATGGCTGTTATGGTATGGTATATCTGAAAATGGTGTAAAATAAATGTTCGGTTAGAGGGGAAAAAAGTCCTTTGCAGGCTGCGTCTGGGTGGTGCTGGATGTTGGACCTTCGGTATAGTTTGCTAGGCAGCATCAGAGCAGCTTCTGGGAGTCCTGGTTTTTCTCTGTTGTGATGAGGAAAGACTCTGTATACCATTGCTCCAGCCCACATCCACCTTAACCATGGATGCAGCAAAAGGCACAGCTTATCTCTAATTACCCTTCATGATTCCCTTCATATTCATGGTCTTATAAGCCATTCGGACCGTCAATTTAGTATCATGAACAAACACAAAAGGGACAGAAATAGCTTCCTGGCACTAACAACCCATTCTTTACATAGCTCAAATTGATTTATTCAGGTCAGAAATCAAAGACAGTTTCATTTCTGCAGCTGGCAGGATAACTATTAAAGTTTAAAACCTTCACAGGCATAAGTACCTTAAAAATTGTACTTCTGCCTGAATATTTTATCTACAACATTTACAAGTGACAACTAAGATCATGGTAACTGAAAGAAATAAGAGTGGAATGTGTTTCTTATTATTTCAGTTGTATTTACTTCATGCATGTGGCAATGTTTTGCATATTGTCACTCATAGCTTTGCCTTCAGAAGCACATGTGCAGTGATCTTGGCCCTGTTTATGGGGGTATTTTGGACAAGAGAAAGAGGGAGAAGAGCATTGGAGAAAAATTTGAAGATCTGTTATTTTATCTATAGAAATCGGTCATAAGAAGTCTGAGTAGATGGACTAAAATTGCATGTAACCCATTTTTAAAAGAGTAACCTTGTATAACTTTCCTTTTGGATTTTGCTGAAGTCTGAGGAAATGTAGATAAGAATAAGTGAGAATCAGAAAATAATTCTGTATTTTTAAGGAGTTATTGGTCTTTTCTTAGTCAACAAAATAATTCTGAAGAACTGTACTTTGAAAGAAATCTTGCAATCTTCTCCATGAATTTTTGCTATTGTATCATAGCATGGCATTTTTTACCACTGATTTTTTTATATTATTACTATTTTAATTTGTATTTTCTTGATAAAATATTTAGTCATGTAATAGAATGATAGAATCATTTAGGTTGGAAAAGACCTTCAAGATCATCAAGTCCAACCATCAACCATGCCCACTAAACCATGTCCTGAAGTGCCTTGTCTACACGCTTTTTGAATACCTCCAGGGATGGTGACTCAGCCCTGGGCAGCCTGTTCCAATACCTGATGACCCTTTCAGAAAAGAATTTTTCCCTAATACCAACCTAAACCCCCCCCTGCCACAACTTGAGGCCATTTCCTCTCGTCCTATCTCCAGCCACCTGACAGAAGAGACCAGCACCCACCTCACTACAACCCCCCTTCAGGTAGTTGTAGAGAGCGATAAGGTCTCCCCTCAGCCTCCTCTTTTCTAAACTAAACAGCCCCAGCTCCCTCAGCTGCTCCTCATAAGACTTGTGCTCCAGGCCCCTCACCAACTTGGTTGCCCTTCTCTGGACACGCTCCAGCACCTCAGTGTCTTTCCTGTAGTGAGGGGCCCAAAACTGAACACAGGACTCGAGGTGCGGCCTCACCAGTGCCCAGTACAGGGGGACGGACACTCACTTCCCGGCTCCAGCTGGCCACACTGTTTCTGATACAGGCCAGGATGCCATTGGCCTTCCACAATACCAGTTTGTTGTAAAGATAACAAGGATATCTAGGTATCTAGTATTAAAAATACAAACTCAATACAGAAAGAATTGGATTAAAGAAAAGTGGACCAATGTTTAGTGCAGGTCATTGTGATGCAATGTAAAAAATCTGCAAAGTGCAGTATTTTTCATACCTGTGTGGAAATGTGGGTTAACGTCTCATAGGTCTGAGATATTGTCCAGTAACCACTAACAACATTGATTCTTCTTCCAAGCCAAAATGCAGCTTTTTTTATACTTTGCCTTTCTGGCTCCATTCAGGATCAGAGGCACAATTTTTTCTGAATATCCAGTTGAATCACAAAGCAAGAAGAAGAAAGTCTGTTCTTGTTCATGTGTGGTGTCTGCTTTACAGACCTTTGCGTCTCACTATGTGCCCAGAGACTGCCCTACGCCTGCAACTGTCACAAGAAGAATTATGTTTATGTGGTTCTTACTAGCACAGATACTCCTAGGTCAAAAGTTTCAGACTTGTTCAGAAGGGATATCTGGCTCTATGGATAGGGTTCAAATATTTTTCTTACTTATCTGATGATACAAATGCCGTTTCAGTTTGGTTTTCATAGTTATGCATGCTGATAAAAGCAGTGTTTGACTGAAATCTCCAAAGGACCCAAGAAGGTTCTGACCGTCCTCTGAGATGTGTTTCATGATCTCAGTCTCTGCATGGACAGCCACAAAAACAGGTTTTAGTGAAAGGGATCAGTGTTCCCTATCATTATGAGCAGATCAGTCAGTAATTTTGCTACTAATGCAGATACAAGCATTTTGATGTGGAGAAGGTAATGGGAATAATGAGTACCGGTGCTTTCCGCTATGTAAACAATAGTGAATGAATGTATTACTTGCAATGCCTATTTTTAATTTAAAAATGCATTAGAGCACTTCTTACCCTGCTCCGATATGAATTCTGATTGAATAGCATCAACAATGTACTTTGCCTTTTGTGTATTAATTAATTTTATTCTCTGTGCCACAGTATTCAAAAACAGATAGGCATCCTGGGCCTATTCTGGACAAAGTTATGGAGTCTAGTTTTTCAGGCCCTCAGTCTTTCCCAGAGGCCTTGTCTCCCGACAGAGGAACCCAGCCCATCAAGCAACATAGGTAAGCAAATGGCCGTCTGATGGGCGATTTGGCAGGCTGCCGAGGGCTGTCGTTGAACTGGTGGTACGTGTGCAGGATTATTGCGCGCTGCGACTAGGAGAGATGCTGAATGGTATGGTACCAACAGAGCCTCAGCCGACTCATTAAGCAGATGTCCAAGCATTTTCTTAGCTGCAGACATAAAAGGCAATAACAATGCTCACCGACTTCATCTGCATTTTGTAAAAGTCCTAGAGGAAGCATTTAAAGACACTATCCAAGCTGTAGACACAGACCAGTGATTGAATCAACTGTAGTTTGAGATACCATTAAAAACTAGACTTCCTTTATCAATGTTCATGAAGTTAATGACTCATTTGCTGCAGAAAGACATGGTTGCAAACTTCCAGCCTTTCTCACTGTTTGTTTAAACAAATAATACTCGAAAGGAATAATGACTTATTTATGAACACATGGTGGCCTTTGAAAACTAGTCTTTAAAAAGTTTGGATGGTTGTTTCCAAGAGGAAGAAAAGAGGAAAGTCACCCATTACTGGATGGCATTTGGATTAGAATTCTGCTTATAGCCTTTTTGGATGAAAAACAGTGCAGATGCTTCATTACAGGACTAGAAACCAAACTCATGTCTGGTATAAGCAATAGCGTTGGTGGAATGGCAGTGGTAATGTCTGGTCCAGAGCACACAGAGAGAGAAAAACGGCTGAGAAAAATTAGTTCAGAATTTTTTTAGCTAGATAATCTGGAGGGGAAGACTTATTTATTGAAAGGATAATTTTTTAAAATCACTAAAACGAAAGTCTGGGATTGCATGAGGTTATGATCTAGCTTCTGTAGTAGTTGGTGCATTTTCATTGTAGTCCCCCAGTTAGCTTACATGTTCCTTCTCTTTTGAATGAATGATTAGCTTAACCTACCAAAGTGCAGACTATGAGCCAGGAGGGGATATTTGGGTCCTACCTACTTTTACCTTACTTAAACCTTTAATTTGGCATGAAAAATAAACACCAACTGTCATGTCAGATCCATTTCTTAGATCTTATTCCTTATTACACAGAGATTTTCAAAATATGCTTAATAATTTTACTGAACATAGATGAACTATGGAACTCATGCCTAGAGTGCTTTTCACAGAAGCTCTGGAGGGAATTTTATCTCCATTTAGTCAAAAGGTGAAGTTCAGAAAAAACACAGCAACATTCCCTTACCTTTAATAACATGATGGCAATATCCAAGTTTGAAATCTTATAGGTGCTATACCATGACATTACCTAAGCTTAAAAATGTGTGAATAAATTAAAGACTGAAAATATTTCTTCTGTTTAGGAACATCTCTTGAAATAAAAGCTGAACGACTCTCTAGACTCCCTGTTTTCCATAGGGAAATTACAGAATAAGGCACACTGAATTTACCGTGAACTAATGCAGAATCCCAGATTGCTCATTTTAACACCTTTGCACACAAAATCTCTCTTTGCCAGGGAAAACAAAAAAAAACCTAACAACAACAACAAGCCCAAAACAACAGTCATCTTATTTGCAGATGTCAAGGACCAGGCTACCTTAAGAGTCTTTGCTTCAGAACTGTTTTAAGATGTGGAATGGTTACCTTAATTTATAAAGAATTATTTTTGTAGTTTTATAACTTAAGATTTATTATACAGGGCCCTTGCTTTATAAAACATGTCACAGACTTTAACATTTAAGACTTATAAGGCTGTCTTTAATTTATGCACCATGTGACAGCTTCCTAATTTACTCAGTTTCTTTAGATTCTAAATAGTGTTCCATGTGGCCAAATGAGGAAACTTCTTTTTTCACTGGGATACATTTTGTCCTAAAAATCCCTTCATTCCATTCTAAACCTGACGTGAGCCTGGAAACATTACAGCAACTCTGCAGGTTCTCTGTTCTTTGCTGTTGTTAAACTATGTTATTGTTTTATTTCTGCTTGCTACGGAAATATTTCGTTCAACATCCAGACATGTTTTCTCTGCTGGTGTTTTCAACGGCACTAATGATGGATGATCATTTCTTAAAATCGGGAGCTGTCTGTTTCCAGTTCCTAAAACCAATACAATTTTGGCCTGTTGCAGTAAGACTACCAAGGCAGGGTATCATTTGGGGTTGCTGAAATTTGACTGACAGAGATCACCTAGTTATTTCACTCACGTTATTAGATAATAGCAATTTTGTGTCTCTACCAACCTCAGGTGCATGCAAAGAATTACTGCTGAGATTGAATTGAAAATTTGAGTCTCCGCTGAATCTTACTCCTAAAATATTTTGCCTGTATTATGCACTGTTATTACAGTAGAAGTATTCTACCTCATCTGCTTGCATATGTAAACCAACTCTTAGTACTTTCAGAACTGGAAAGTAACAAATGTGTTTAATCAGTAAACTTCCTGTAAAGCATACAATGCAGTCAAAAATTAACCTCAGGTTATCTGTTGATTTTAGTAAGAAGAAAACCCATAGTCTTAATTTCTAACAGATAGAAACAAATTAGTTTTGTTAATTATGGGATTGAGTTGTGATCCCTTTGAATAGCAGTTTTCTTAGTAATTAGTCATCCTGACTTTCATTCATTGATTCAGTCATCATTGATTTTAGAGGGATTCATTTCAGAGAATACCATGATGAAAGCCAAATGCAGAGGCTTTCAGCCTAGAGCAGTTGTATTGTCTTACAAAAATGCCAAAATAGGATAAACTTGCTCTAAAATTTAAAATAATTTGTGTTTGCATTTTTAATGAACTTTTAACACCATGAAAACCATGGTATAAACAATTTTTTTTATTTAGTAAGCATTTTACTCTTGATGGTCCTGATATAATTGACTCAGTTTAATTCAAAAGACAGAGTAAATTAAAGTTATTCTGTAAATAAGGCTATTAAATTTCAAGGAACAAGTATTGATAAACTAAAGCAACTAAGAATGTAAAGGCAGAGGAAGCCTGAAAGGGAGAAAGTATGAGGAATCTGATATTTTCCCAAAGAAAGAACATAGTTTTCTGGAGAAATTTACTAAAAAGAATGCCTAAAAGGAATGGGGTGTAAGCAACAAACTATATCACAGCAGGCAGGAAGTCACGCTTGAAGTGAACACTTCCAGGAATCGTTGTGAGTTAAGAATTAATGTTAATACTGAAAGCAATCAATTGTTCTTGCTGTATAAAGAAGAGGAGTACTATACAGGAAGAAGCAAAGCTGACGGTGGGACAGAGATAATATATGAAGCAGTTGGGGCAATCCTGAATGAATATTTTTCATTTTTCAGTTAGGATGAGTATTTGAGGATGAAGGTAGAATACGAATAGAAGCAAATGTATGAAAATAGACATTATTACAGTCAAAGTGGCAGCATAATGCAGAAATCAAAGCCCTCAAGTCAAGATGCTCTGGTTAATCTTGATGAAAGAAGTCTAGAAGGAGAACTGGCTCATGAAATTTCAAGTCTGGTCGCAAAATCTATCAAAATGGGAGCTGTGCCGTGTGATGATGAAATAGCAAATGTCAAATGTTTAGGAAGAGGAAAAAATTTATCGAAGGAACTGAAGACCTATTAAGTTCAATTAGACTAGTCAAGGCTTTAGGACAAATGTGGGGGAAGCAGATTCTTTGGGTAGATATAAAAAAGGCTAAAAATTGTCATAAGTTTTACCAGCAGCAGTTCCTGCAACACTACACTGGTGACTTTCTTTGTACCTGGTGTAGGTGAGCTAGATCTCTACACAGCCTCCGTCAACGTTTGTTGTCACATGTGTCTAATGCCTTTAATGGGAAAAAGCAGGGAGAGGCAGAAAAACTATAATACAGATACACAGAGGTGGTTAAAAGGGAAATAGTAAGCAGTTATGTTGAGCAGGTAAGTGCTGGGCTGAAGACATTCACTAGTGGAGCACTAATGGAGCTCTCAAAGAATTAGTCAACGTTGGGAACAAATTTTGTTTAATGCTTTTGTGCATGACTTTGGAGTAAAAAAGATGGAACACACTGAAAAAACTAGTTAGAAGATAGACTCAATACAGATAAAGATCTAGATCTAAAGAATGAATTGAATAACTTTAAAGAGTGGCATAACAGAGTTGGATTGAAGCTCAGCAGTACTAAATACAAGGTCAGGCATTTGGGAACTAATAACAAAATTTAAGAAACAAATGAGGAAGAAAAGTTTCAGTATATACTACTTGGTCAAAGGATAACCAAGTCACAAAGTGATGCAGATGTGCAAAAGATAAATGGGATGAGAGGATGTATTAAGACATTTCTGTCAGAAAATCAGAAACATTAAAACCACTTCATGAGACACTGTTGTCACTTCATTTGAATATAGCATGAGAATACACCACTATTATCTCACCTGGTTAAAATGTCCTCCTGATGACTACGGACTCAAACTGCATCCATTACCTAATATGAGTAATTAATAATCTGTGTTCCATAGAAAGTGTTGGAGAGTCTGTCTCGTTTTAGTCTTCAGTTCAGAAGACTGAAAAGGGTATATGACTGCTGCTTATAGATACATCAGAGAAAGCATAATGAGAAATAAGAGACCTATTTAAAATGAAGGAGTATGGTGGCACAGAGAACAAATAGATGTATACTCATCATAAATAATTGTAAACTGAAAAGAAGCCTCAAAGTTTTCAATATAAAACAACTTTCTGGAGTAGTAGCCTGGATATCATTGTAGTTTTAGGATGGAGGTTGATCAATGCACTGCAGGGAGTATATGATGAAGTTATGGCAGATTATTAAACTCACTACCACTGAGGTACCTTTGAATGCTCTGTTCTTTTTTCCTGTCATGTGTATCTATCTGGTAGAACCAGGATGGTGACCAGATGATATGGGTAGTGTTGAAGGATTTATGTAGAGTTGCAAAGTCCCCGATGAGCCCTGGCACATGCTATTCCTGAATACATGAATAGATAATTTCAGAAATAAAGAGTAGATTTGTAGGTATAGGCTGGCTGCTGGAAAGCTTCTCCTACATATGTGAAGGGAGAAGAGAGTTTTGCAAACAGCAGGCTACAGTCCCACTGCACCACCTGGGCTGAGAACCTGACCAGCTGTAATGGTTCATAATCACAAGCTAGAAAACACAGGTCATCGTGCCATTGTAGATGAGATGTTTTCCCAGACTTCGCAAAGGCAAGGGAAAGAGTGGTGTTTAAATGCTTGGGATACAGGACGCTATAGAGAAAAAAGGGATAAAACTATTAAGTTCATTTCTCTCATGCCACAACTTTTTTGGCATAATAATCTCCTTACAATCTTAGTATTCTTTTAATCACATACAGCTTTGTTGAAGTCCCAAACATTATGTTAACTTTCTCCCTTTGGGGAGCCGTCTATAACAGGCTCCAAGAGAGACACGCTCATTGTGCGTCATCTCGTTCTTGTAAACAGTCTGACGAAAGGACTTTGTGATACAGCGTTATTATTGTTGTATGTTATTTACTGAGAGATGCTTATGTTCTCAGGTATAACAGATCCTTTTTATTAAAACTGAAAATTGGTTGGAAGTCTGAATAGTTGATCTGTACAAATGTTAGCAGTAGATTGTCTAACTTAGCTTAAAATGTGGCTTCTAGGGAACATCAGAAGACACTGCTATCTGGCAGCTAGCTCTGTCATTGGGGTATGTATTTACTGTTTCTGTCTTGCAAGGGCCAAAACCCATGTCTTCAACACTAATGTTTGCATCTCATGATTGGTAGGTAATATAGGATGTAACATAGGATGTAATATAATATGCCTCTCTGTACAGTTTTTGCAGGTACAGAGCCAGAGTATTTACAATCAGTTTTAGGACTTTCCTTCCTCCCTCAACTTTGCATCTTTCTTTTCATTAATTATGATCATGAAAAAAGGGGAAAGAATAAGTAAAATAGATCTACACACAACCATGGTTATAAGCACGATTTCTGTAGCTCCATTGTGCTGATTAAACAAGAATGGAAGGATTGGGATCCCATCTAAAGTTTTAACACTACAATTGTCATCCTCTTGTCAATGCTTTTCATGTTCCTGTTGACAAAGTTAATTCTGAATGTGTTTGTAATGTGATGTATAATCAATTTTGTTTAGTAATTAACTAAAAAGCAGTACAGGAGGATTCCCAGAGTTACTGTAAATTCACTGCAAGTCTTCTCCTCTTCATGAACATGGTTAACTGCACTTGGGAGTTGTGTATGTGCCTTGAGAAGAGAATATTCCACCTGCTGAGACAGACTGTTTTTACTCGGTTGCTCAACCTAAAGAAAATTTTCACACAAAACAATTTGCAACAATGAATCCCAAGTTCTTAATTAACTTTAGAAATGGTTGAACTACTTCTTTCAAACCATTAATTCATCAGAACTATATTTCTCCCTAGTTTATGCATTAGTTGTGAACCAGTTCAAGCGTATTATGATTTTTGTTATTCTGGAGTAAATGCTTAATAGATTTTAAAGTCATATCTGCTGCAGCTTTCCTTATTGGTCTGTTTTATTTAACAGCTCAGTTACGTGGGCTGGTTTCTTTTACCCAGTTAGACTGGAGTACAGGGAGGAAGAAACCATAATGGTGGCTAAAGGAGGATAAATTCCCTGAAGAAATCCAAAAGACATTGTTTGCCTCACAGTGAGGAGCACTCTACATGAGCAATAGAGCAGAAGCCTGTGAGGGACTGTTTTAACATTTTTGGAGGAAGAGTATGCTGGCATTCATAGCAGTTTTGTGAAAAAGGAAAAACTTTATTATGCTGGAGTTACTTTTTCATAGAACTTTTAACAAAAATCGTTACTATCCTGTCTTTGGTGCTTCAAGAAATTAGCGTTATCCTGCAGCTTGCAGCTGCACTGACTGTACATATTTCCTTGTCCTCCTCAGTGAATTTGTCTTGTCCACGACCACAGATGATTTTTGTTCATTTTCCCCTCTGTTTTTGTTGTCAGAAATGTTGAAAGCATAAGAACCTCACGTTAGCAACAAATCAGTTGCTTAAGCTCTGTCAGTTCTGGAGCTGGTGTGATTGCAGGACAATGTTGGCATGTGCCAGATCCCTTCAGTCTAACCAGCCCACACGCTTTTAGCAGCCTGGAGCAAGTAGTGTTAGATGTAGTAACAAGAGTTCCAGTGCAAGTTGAAGGAAGTTCAGATAGGTCATTTACATGCATCTTTGCTGCAGTTTATACCAGTTATCTGTCTTGCAATTATGTCTACTACAAATGCAGAGGTTTTGTAAATTTGCATGTGTGCTACTAGATGGGAGACCATGTGCTCTCATCCAAGAAGGAAGATGCGCAAGGGCATCAAACCAACCACAATTAAACAATGATTTATAGTTTCAAATATTGGTAATCAGTCTAAAGTCTGTTAAGTTAATCAGTTTGTTGACTTTTGTAGTACATTGATGAATATACTGCAATCAATAAAAAACCCTGAAATTCATTATCCATCACAGTTTATTCACTCAGCTGCATCTTTCAAGATGCAATAATCTCAGACTCTCCTAAGCAGAAACTGTCAATTGTTTTGTGACGTGGTAGTGTAATTTTACAGATTATGAACTGTAACTCACAACTTGAAGTCAGCTTTCAGAATTGAAAGGCCAGTACTTCAGTTTTTTAAGAAAGTTTTTTCACAGCCTCCTTAATAGCTAAGGAAAAATCTATTTAAGAAAACATCGAAAATCCTTGGGGGAGTGCTATTGCTACAGGTTATTGATTTTTTCAATTAAAAAGCACCAGGAAAGTAAAAGTGTGGAAGAGAACAGAGTGGAGACGATGATGGAACACTGCTAGCCTGAGCAGTAGGATAGAGACTGTTGAATTTATTTCTTATGTTTTGACTTTGGGGAGAAAAGGTCGGTTTTAATGGAAATGTACACTCCAAGAGAATTTGTCCAAGATATTTGGTCCAAGCAAGAATTGCTTTGGGAGTAGATGTGGCCCTAACTATAAACAAAGTTCCCACTAGGTATAAAATGCAGATTGCTTTTAGGTCACATTATAATAGGAAAAGATAAGCAAACTTATCAAAAGTCTTTTGCATAGCTGAATTGTATCAGAAGTTGAAATTATTCATGTAACCAAAAATAATGACTCTTAAAATGCATCTACAAAACCTGTATTAAAATAGCATTAAGGACGTGACAGAATATTAGGTAATACATATGCATTTCTGAGACCCAGGAGATGTCAAGAGAAATAGGAGTAGCTGGAAAATGGATAGCCAGTCACGCCATGCAGTACTGTGACCTGTTAACAGTAGAAATTGGTTATGTCTTGCCTTAATTCTGTGTTCCCTTATTTTTGCATTAGCAACAGCTGAATTTATGGTTGATATACCGAAACTATGGATTCCAGATACCTTTTAATTCCTGCACAAAATGGAAAAAATCCATTCTCCTTCCAAAACACTACAAAAACGTTTACAAAAGCAATTTTCTTAAATAAGTAGAAAACTATTACTTGTTTTTATCATGTTCAAGTTTGTATTATATCACATAAAGAAACGACGCAGTATTTATCAATGTATATAAACAAGAAAACAATCTGTATATAAAACAAGAATAAAACAACATAGAAAAGAAATCTTGTTCAACGTGGAGAAAACTTGTGACATAGATGGTTTCTTCAGGCTGCAGTTCATAAGCTTCACTCATATTCTTCACTTGTATTTTTTTCCCAGTTTAATGTTGTCGTATCAGGAAGCAGCACCTTGTAGGCTGATAGATGATATAATGGGCTCTCAATTTAAGATACGATTCTGAGCTCAGATGTAGGTATGATAGAGCTGTGCTGTTTGTTTATAGTATCTGAGGAGTCAACTCTATATAGCAGCATTATGGTATGCAGCATGGAGAAAAAGAAGCATCCTTCATCAAGTACAAGAAAACATTTAATATACCAGGCAATTATTTTCATTCCTAGAAGAGAGGTGGTGTATTAAATATGGCATAAACAGCAGCTAACTGCAGATTATAATATTGTATTTCCGTAGAGAATTTCTACTGACGTCATATACTGCCACAGCAAAGTTTATAAAAACAGTAATCCATGCGTTATTGATCCTGAATCTTTAATTTGCAGAAGTTTACGCTTTTGCTGTGATAATTTTTACCATACTCTTGGTGTTGTTCCTAGAAGTCTCTCTTCATGCTGCAGCCCAGGACAAAAAAATGGGATGCTACATAGAAATGCCTTTCGGAGGACTCCTCCCTTACCTCGGGGTAGGTTCAATGGAATTACAGGACCAGCATATCAACAGCTAGAAGAGTCAAGGATCACAGACCAGGACACAATACCTTGTCACGGGTAAGTAATAACTGAAGTGAGCCAGTTTGTGAATGGCTGCTGTTACGTGGTTCATATGCTTTGCCATTACAGTCCTTCCAACTTTGTTGTAGTGTACTGTGGATCCAGGGTTTATAGTACTGAAAGCAGAAGAATGTTTTCAGCGTACTGGCTCTTTGAAGGTAATACATTTTTATTTGGCTGGCTGCTCTTTTTAAGCCTTTCAAAGGCTGTAGAAGGAGTGATTAGAACAAACTGTAAGTGATTGGCAACGTTACTCTGTATAACTGATGCTTTTTCTAGCGGTGCCATGATGTTCTAGTAACTTTTGCAGAGCATTTTTTGCTTCCGTCAGCACTGGGCAAATAAGAGAAAATAATTCAGAAGTCCAACTTACATGGTTTTTTAAATAAATCAATATGCATTGCAAAGTGTGTTTGCTGTAGACCGAAGTCCGATCACTTCACACAGGTTTGTCTTTGAAAATGCACAAAGAATCCAATATTTTTCCTTTTTTAATTCAGCTTATTAGAATATTGAATGTGAGCTCCAGCTATACATAAGGTCTGAATTTCAGAAGTGCTCCTGAGCACCTACAGCTGCCTTTGAAGTCTTTTGCAATTGCTGAGGTATTTTGCATAATATTTACATATCCCTATAGATTTCCAAAGACTTCCCAGAATCACTACAAACATATTATATGTAAAACAAGGAGTGATACCTGGAATGGAATAAAACGACACCAGTTTCATTTGGATGCGTGTAAGTCCCAGCTAAGTGTGGCAAGGTGAATAGTTACACTGTGAGAAGGCAGCTGGACATTTTTCGCATCAGAACTGGCTTTATGAAGTGCAGAACTGAGGTTGTCTACATGTTTAATTTTTCTCAGGGAAGGAGCTCTTATCACTATCCACTCTGACCTCCTGGGAAATGACAGCCACAAGTGCTGACCACGAATGAGCGTCGTTACACGTGTGTCGTTGCACGCGTGGGCACGCGCGCGGGCACACGGTCCCCCCACGCCTCCCTTGCCACGCTTTCCACCCTGCAGCAGGCTGGCCCAGTCTGGGGTACTCTGTGAGAGGGCACATGGCTCACAAAATGTTTTGTAGCTGAATCTACCTAACAAAGTTGGCCGCAGTAATTAGGAAAGACAGATGAAGAACAGGGCTTACCTTGGAAGGGAGAAAGCAAAGCAGCAAAAGGTTTGGGTATCTGGTGATTTCTTTTAAAAAGTACAAATTTGTCTCATACTTCTTTCATTGTCTCTGTTTGCTTCTTCTAAGGAAAAACTTGATTATTACTTCTTGGAGTAAATATACTTTTGATAATGTGTGTACAATTCCTTACAAAAATTGTGACTTTGAATGCAACCCTTCTTGAAAGGGGCAGGCTGACAGCCTTCCCTCTTCAGTGGCAGTGTCTTGTAACACGGGCTCTGGAGAGTGCTGCAGCCTCTTCCTAGGTTGAGAAGTGAGGTAGAAAACGGCAAAGCTGTCTTGTGGGCAGTTGTATTTACTCTTCTCTAGGAAATCAGTGTGTGATATTACAAGTATCATCTTGTACTGGTCTATATTTTAAATCTGCCGTTCTGCAAAAGGTTGATATTTGGGCCAGACTGTGACCCCTTCTGGCCTCAGTCCACTAAAGCACTTCATCCATATTTTGTGCGCTAAGGATGTCTGTAGAGTTAGAGCTTCCTAATATCGACTCTAATGATGGGGCCTTTCTCGGAAGGAGTCCTCTGAGTGCATCAACAGGTGGTGTTGTGACAGGGAGTCACAGCAGTTTCTGACACAGATCGTATCACAAATATGACACCAAAAGTCTTCCACTAGTACCCATGGAAATGAATTTTTTAAATGTCAATGTTAGGCATGAAAACAAAAGCAATTTTTTGATCTTACTTTATTACGATGTTTTACTGATGATGGTTCTTATGAAAGTAAAGTCTTTTAAGACTTTTAAGTCTTTTGTAACAAACAAAACTTTTTGCGGGTTATTTTGTGTTGCAGCAATGAAGTAATCTCTTCAACCGAAATATTAAGTACGCATCTTATCTCTGAACAAAAATTAAAAATAATTCACTAATTCTACTTTATGTGGAATTCTTCTAACTTAGGAAGAGGTTTCCCCCAAATCAGATGACTTTTACCATCTAAATATCTGCTAGTTTCATAGCGTTGGTATTCTCATTAGTTTTCCAGCCCAAATGCCAAGTTCCCTTGTGACCTGCAGAAGTTACACGCCTACCTTTCTTCTCCCTTTTCACCTCCATCTTTCCCTATAGGGATGCACAAATCAAAGCAGTTTATCTCCCTAATTCTGTGAGCCTTCTAAAGTTCATCCATCAGCAGCTCTGGCTGAAGTTTAGTCAGGTTTTCTATGTTTGCATTTGATAGAAAAGAGGCTCATTTACCTGATTAGTTCTTGTGTAGTCCTGTAAAAGTGCTCCTCTTCCCATCCCACATTGAGAAGGAAGCTTTTGCTGCCTTCAAGAAGCACCAGATCTCATTATTTGCAACAGGATCTAATATTTGCAGAGTTTCAGTCAAATACAGCTAGTAACAGTTATTTAATCAGTATGCTACCTGAAGGAGTAGAAAAACCTGCTTGAAATGAGGGGCTTAAAGAAAACAAACTCTCTCCATGCCAGTCACATCTCAGAGACTGACTCGAGTCCCTGAGGGTGTCACAAGTTTACATGCAGTTAAGTGGACAGCAGTTTGGTCGCATGCTTTCAGTGACAGCTGTTTCCTTTACACAGTATGAAGTGTTATAGCCTGTGAATGTGTACATATACAGATACAACTGTGTTTATGAATGCAAGACCCAATGTGTCATACCTACAGGTAGAAAATGGGGTGTGTGTATATACAGGTATATGTGCTTACAAGGGTGAACCGAAGCCTGGTAGTGCTGCTGGAATGACTCCCATTCATCTTATCGGACCTTGTCGTCAGGCTCGTATACTGAACACCTATAGCAGTAGAGCTTATAGCAAAGCTATTGGTACTATGCTAAATAAAAAACATTTTGTATTTCACGTTCCGATCCCTTCTGTCTCTCCTTAATATCTATTTGAAGGGGGTAGTAAAATTATTATGCTTCTTTCAGTTTCATTTTTTAATTTGGACTCCTAAACACAGTATAACATAATTATTGTTGCATATTTATAAATGTTTGAGTTTCTTTTTTTGCTTGTTTTTAGGAAGAGGGTGGAGAGAGAGGTCCACTTTGAAATACATGCACGTGAATGATCGTATTCAGACAAAATTTTTCAGATAAAAAACCAGATCTTTCTTAGAAGGAACTGTAGTGCTGGGAAAGTTAATTATAGGAAAAAGTAATTAAGATTCTGCAATTATAGGTCTAAGTCTCAGTCTATTGAAAACAGCAGCAGTCTGGTGTCACAAGTAGAAGCATGGATCAGTTTGTAATTAACCAAAAGCTGAGTCTCAAATGGTTTAGATGTAATATCCCTACTAGTTTAATACCTTGCCTGTTGCACGCAGTGTGTGTGCTTTAATTCAGCCTTAGTCCTCCTTTGAAAGTCCTGTGAGCACAGAGCATAAACATGTAGTTCTGGCATAAAATTGGTGTGTCTGTCTGTACTTCAAAAAATATTATGGAAATATGCCAGGCATTGCATTACATGTTATTGTTGCTGCCAATTAGTTTTCAAAATACCAAGAATAATTGAACCTGTGTCATGGAATTGGCAAATGTTACTGATTTCTCACCAAACCCATTTTAATTCAGTCTTTTCTTGTTTTTGCTTATATATCATCCATATAAGACATTCATTGCATGTGAAATTCATTAAAAACATTCACTCCCTTTGTTTTCAGGGTGCAGCCCAGAATATATTTAGGGCCCGAATTACCAAAAAAGGGAATAATGCAACTGATGCGATCTCTCCAGCTATAGTCGTTTGAACAATTATATAATAAGCAAAGGAAACAAGAATGGGCACAACCCAAAGGTCTGCACTGTTTTGTTTTAATTTTTTTTTTTTTTAATTGTCCTCCCTCGGGAATAATATCCCTGATCAGTATTTCATTCATACCGATTCTTGAAAACTGTTGTAAAAAGGCCCTCCATAAATGGCTACAAGTGTGTCTAAGCGTAGTGCAAATGTAATTAACCAAAAGCTGAGTCTCTGCTGGCTCAGATGTAAAACATAAACGCAGCTGTATAGCATGTACAAGAAGTTCTAGCATGTATCCAAATAAGCCACTTGCTATATTATTCCCCTGGGTCCCACTTCCCAAAGCAGTATCTCTTTCCATCAGACAGCAGCAGAGATCACAACACCTCTTCCTTATCACAGACCTCCCAGTTGTGTTTTCTGGTCTTTTGAGGATGCCTGGAGAGTTTTCGTACAGGGGCTGCACAGAACTGAATGCATGCACGTGTACAGGTTAATGTGTCCAGCAGTTGTACAAACGCGGTGCCACCATAGACGAGTTAATTACAAGCCAGCGGCACTCTGCTGGAAATGAGCCTGAAGATATCTCCTCCTCTCTCTCCTGTCTGACAGCTCGCCAGGAGGATGGGGCCAAAGAAGCCTTTCCGGTTAATTAGCGTCGTGCGCTGATACTGGACTATGGCTGTTTCATGCAATTCACTTTCTTTTCCTTAGTTGTCTTTCTGCTAATGCCAAAAAGCAGCAAGGCACGTGTGAGTAGAAGGATATCCCTAGTGAAGTCCAGGAGGCTTAAGCAGCTTTCAGAAAAATACCATTCAAGTCAGAGCTCAAAGCACCTGCCTTCCACACCAGATCTAAATGTTGCTTTCCTCATCCATAGGTAAAACATAATAGACTTCACCATTAGCTTGCTTTATTAAATAGTGATATGGTCACAAAGCTGATTATAAATAAAATACGTTCTGGTACTAAGGTGATGTCTGTGGTCCTTGGCAATCATGACTAGTAAATATAGTAACTCTTAGAGATCCAAATTTCTAGTAATACTACTTCTCAGATGGGAAACATTTTTTTTTCTTTTTCATTGTTTCCTTTATTTTGTATTTGGTATACTTTCCATTTCTGTTTTTTAAGTATTTCCTGTAAATGAAAACACTTTCTGACCAGAATAATGAATTTGACTTGGAAACAAAATGGAAATATTGATAAAAATTCACCAAAGTTGCCTCACGATAAATAAAATCATGCTATGATATGTATTAATGGAGGATAAAGGATTTTTTTTTTTGAAACACAAGATTACAATATCAGGAAAATACAGACATTTGCTCAAGCACAATACATTGGCTGTATTTCCGGATGAGATCTAAGAAAACAAATCAGGCCAACATTAGGAGTATGGGCTATTGAAAAACAGACATGTTTTTCAGAGGTACATTGCACTTAGATGCTCTGCTTGTTTGAAGGGGAGCACAGGCAATCATTTCCATGTAAATAAAGACTGCACAACCATGTTTTGTTTCAAGTTCTTTTTTCCTGCACCTTTTTTAAGTGTTTTCCTAAAATAGCCATTTGACATTGAGAGTTCTGATGTTGAAGAAAGCATCAATCCATTTTCCCCAGTTAGGAATGTGGGAATAGAATTTCGAAGAAAATTAGTAATACAGGATAACTCCTGAAATCTTTTAAAAAAGAATTGTCGTTATATACTGGTGGGCAAAATGAGACCGAGAGGCAAGCAGTGGTTTGCCACCAGCAGCTCTGAGAATCAAAACCAGGTCTCCCAAGTCTGTTATTTTCCCCAGGGCCACACTATTACCAAGTGCTCCTAGCGCGAGGGAAAAATGACATATATCTTTTCAGCACAGTTCACTGAATCTCATACAGCATTCCTGCTGCCGGTTGCATCTGACCGCTTGATGTACAACAAAAACTTCTTTTTGCTCTTTCCAGGTATTCATCCAGTGGTTTAAAAACTCCTCAGAATACTTCAATAAATATGCAACTGCCTTCAAGAGAGACGACCCCTTATTTTAATAACGTGGATCAGAAGGACTTGGTCGGCTATTCATCTTCAAGGGCCAACTCCGTTCCCATCATCCCGTCTGTGGGCTTGGATGAAGCCTGCATGCAAATGCAAAATGTTTCTGAAGTAACAGGCATCAAATGGTGCAAAAACTCCTATTCAGCTGAACTTGTCAATGTGAGTTCCCCAGTCAGTAATTGTCTTATAGCAGAACAACATGAAGTGAAAATATTGCTAGAAACTGTGCAGGAGCAGATTCGGATTCTGACGGACGCGAGGCGGTCGGAGGACTATGAACTGGCAAGCATAGAAGCAGAGAGCGGTGCGAGCGAAAACACGGCCTTTCTGCCCCTGAGCCCCATGGCCAAGTCAGAGCGAGAGGCACAATTTGTCTTAAAAAGCGAAATGCAAAGAGACTCGGTATTGACCAAGTGACTTCGTGTGGGGGTTGTGGGAGGGGAAACCAGAGATCTGTGCATTCGATGCTTTGCTAAACAGGAAGGGAGGAAATTAAATACAAATTATTTATATGCATTAATTTAAGAGCATCTACTTAGAAGAAACCAAATAGTCAATCGCCCTCATATCATAGTGTTTTTTAACAAAATATTTTTTTAAGGGAAAAGTTCCAGGAGGGATGAAGCGTACATCAGGTGCTTTCTAGGCAGGATTAGACATACAGTTTCAGTTACAGAGCATTTTACCACAGTCCCGTTCGGCTGTCCGAAGGCTTAGGCTATGCATCTTTTTTTCCGTGGAGGCCAAGACCATTCTTAGATTCATTTCTGGTTTCGTGGCAGTGCTGCACTGAGCTGCTGGCTGGGGATTCAGACCCTGGTGAGCAAGTCCCGTGACCCTGGCACAGACCCGATCCCCTCATCCCCGCTCCTCTTGGTTCCAGGTTCATACCATGGAAACAGGCACGCAGACATCTACTTCTGAGGTAGCAGCACAGGTACCTACGGTGGAATGACAATAAATCCCTAAATTGAGCCAGATGCTTAACTCTCGACCTTACTTTAATGTGTCAGTCAGGCCAAGAAAGTCAATGGAAACATAGAGGAGCTCTGGGTTTGGCCAAGCGCGGAGTGGGATTGGGGTCTGTAAAGATGCAGTGGTCAGGAGCCCGCAGCTGCTCCATCTTCTGAGCTTTGCCTATCAGAGCTGTTGTGGTGGAGAGTGAGGAAGAACAAGAGAAAGTGCAAAAGTGTGTGTTACAACAGGTTTTGGTTTGGGTTTTGGTTTGGGTTTTTTTGAGTGGGAACATAAACTCCATTGTTCATTACTGACCCCTCAACATTTCTAAACTGTTATACTTTGAAGGCATTTGTAAGCTCTCAAGGAGCGCTTCTGAGTGCGTGTGTATTTTTTTTAACGTATTTTTTATTATGGGTTGTTCAGAGGAGAGTCAGGGAGATCCGATATGATCAAAATCCAGCCGATAAGTGTCCACACTGCCCTAATTTGTTCCCGCTTTCAGTTCTCCAGTCACTTTAATTAATCATGGCTTAGGCATTTGAACTTTAAAGCTTCAGCCCTGCAGATGGTTCAGTATGGGCAGACCTACAAGCATGCACAGATCTGATTCTAATGGGGCTATGTAAGAGCAGATGGTTTCCACCAAATCACGCCCTGCAGGGGATCAAGGCCTTAGAGAAGAAATGTCATTTCCTGTTTGCCGTATCCCAATCACATTATAAGCATTTTTTGCATTTGCTTTCTTTTGAGTCCTTCTTCCCCCCGTAAATTGTAACACAATATGCCAATAATGCAATGAATTGGGTTCGGTGACACACACATTACTGTTTTTATTAGTATTAAAATATCTGCTTATTCATGGGGAAAAAGAAAATCAGCTATAATAAAAAATTGCTAAATAGCCTTCCCTGGTTAATGTCTGAAGATTGATTTAAAAAAAAAAAAATTACAGCATATACAGAATCTTCTAAAACATTCCTTTGCAGCAAATTAATTGTTAAACTTATTAATGTGCCCCAGACTTCCCAGTTCACAAGTCTCAGGACTTCCCAAAATAGCACAAGCGATCACACAGTGCTGTTGTATGTTGAGTCAGAATAAAGCAATATTTTAACCTCTGTCAAGTAAATTTGGAGAAGAAATGCTGAAGGTGTATGTCATTTTTTTTATTAAGGCAGTAAAAAAAATTACCATTCACAGTCTTCATTCAGTAAGTCTTATTTTGGGTTTCTTTTAAGATAAAGTTGATGAAATTGTCTTGTTTACAGAACTTTCTATGGCTGTAATCTTTGCTGTGTGTTTTCAATAAAAATATATTTGAGGGCAAATTATGCTTTATGCCCCAGGACGGAGCATGCCTCGTTTGGACTCCCTTCTTCAATGACACAGAGCTTTTGTTGTAGCAGTAAGGTGGGATCACTGTGAGGAGCGGTCTTACTCTGACATGTTTCTGCAATATGTTGTGGCTGGGCACAATCTCACTCTGCATGAGCTGAGCTGACTGCGGTGGGTATGGCCCCAAGCCCGCACCAAATAAACCCTCTGAAAGACGAGGTGCATTAGCTGGGGCTCAGCTTTGCATCCCTACAGTCGTGTGACTTGTCCATCAACGCCGTTTACATCCCGCCAGCTCAGGACATGACTAAAGTGAGCTTGCCTCTGCCCATAAGCCCTGTGAACATACCTGTAATATAAAAACTGGCTACTATATAAAGCTCTGATTCAATAATTTGTGAAGTAAGATCACAATTAATTACTTGTTCACCATTAATTTCATCAAGAGATGGTCTTTCTGCAATAAAGTGCAGAATCCTGCTCAAACAGATGTTTCAAAATTAAATCTTTTTGATCCAGATGTAAGGCCTTCTCGCCCCCAAATCCTACCAAACTCTGCAAATTCACCTTTGGCAACATATTGGAAACACACGGCAAGATTTCTGTTGAAGAAAGAACCATATCATAAGCAATGCCTTTATGGAGAGAATGTGTTCACTCAGCACCCCAGAAAGACCCAGAAAGAGGGGAAGAGCGATGTATTTAAGAGAATGAAATGTTTGACTGAATGACAGATGAAGATCTGAAATGGTGAGGATATCTTCAGTTCATGTTAGAGATGCGATCTTGTACTCAGCAAAGGATGTGTGACTGTTATATGTTAACTGTTCTATTCAGTTTTCAGCATGTTTGAATAGAGAGACGTTAATATTAACCATATGACAGACTAGTGTATTATTTGTTAAGAGTATCGCTTCAGATCCTGTTGAAACTGTCATTGTTTGCAGAGGAAAAGAAAAAGGTTTGAAAACATCGAACTAGGTAGCCTTAATGTCTTTTGTGTGTTTCTCTAATGCTACTATTTTCCTCCGTGGACCCTCCTATTTTACAGTGAATGGAACAACATTTTCTCTGAGGTCTGGCAATTAATTTTGTAGAGGACACAAAAGAAAGTTGTACTGAAACAGTCAAAATGATAGGCCAAATTTTGCTTTCCTTCTGACCCCTGTGGTCCCATTGAACTCAGTGGATTGGAAGGGATGCGAGTCAGTGCAAAATGCAGTTCATTCCTAAAATTACATCTGTTCCCAGCCTTGGTAACAGACTGTAATCCTCCTAAAAGAGGCTCTGAACTCAGTCGGTTACCTGTAACATAATTAAAAATTATATCTGACCTATGAAGTTCCAAGTGTAGTCTGGTGTGAAAATTCACACATGCAGCATTACACTTGAGTAAACTGGGAGAACAGCTAGCTAAATAAATTGAATGTTCTCTGAATTGAACAGAGAAAGCCTATGTCTCTTCAGCATAATACTGTGGAGCAGAATTATGAGAGGTGTATATTCTGACCTTTTTTTTACTTCCGTATAGAATTTCTTGAAAACAATCCAAAATAACCCTAAAAAAAAACCAAAAAAACAACAACAGTAGGATGATCCCAGCATTTGAAGTAGGAAATGTAGGTGAATATGGGCACATTTCATAGCGTTAACCACTGAAAAACTCTTCAGTACACCCATGACCCAAAGCTGAAACTTTCTAATTCTTGCAGGATCACGTTTAGATCAATAAACACATCCATGGAAAAAGAGCTCTTCAGAATGTTTTTGGTATCTAGCCACCTAGCCACACTCTCAGCTGATGTAGTCAATGCAGTAGTGACAGTTTATATTAATAGAGGATCATGCCCCAAATCTTTTCTACTCAATGATGTCCAGCGTAGTGTCACAAAGCTTAGTAGTCTACCACATGAGGTAAGGACTTCTACACTGATTTATGGAGCTACTTTCATTTTGCTTATGAAAACTATACTCATATCAGTGTGTGAACACCCTCACTGGAATACGGTGCAAGGTTCATTGGCCGAGTGATCGGTTTGTCAGGTCTATCTTTTACAAGGACTGAGTATCACTGACCAGGCTCTAACAGCAATGAACTTACCACCATGTGGCTAATTCCAATGTTATTCATCAAAATACTACAGCTTCAGGTTTAAATTTTGCAAAAACAATGAGACAATGGCATGTGCTTATGACCAGGCATGTGCTAGATATGCTCCTGTATTAAAAGCCTCTTCCCAATTCATCCCCAGCTTCCTTTAGTCTAATTTTGGACATTACTCGAACATTTCTTACTCTTATAAGGAATTATGAAAATGAATACCAAAGAAGAACTCTTTCAGAGTCCTAGCTGCAGTAAATAAAATTAAAGCTTGAAGGAGCAGACCTGGAATAAAAACTGGTTTTGAAAATGGCATTAATATCAATTGACTTTCAATAAATGGAATTTCCCTGTAAACTGTTTTTCACTTGGGAAAACAATGAGCTTATAAAGTGATTTTTTATCTTGGCATGAATTTAAAATGCTCATCTTCAAGCAGATTGGGAAAAAGCAAATATTTAGTATAGATTTTTCACCTTTTTTGATTTATTTTTTTAAATTTTATTTCAGTAGCCCAACAGGTCAATGATCCCATTATCTGTATTGTCTGACACATAGTATTAAAGGCCATCTCTGTTCCTTTTTGTCGTCTAGATGCTGGACTGTTAGATTTCCTCAAAGAGAACAAGATTTTATCTGAATTATATTAAAAAATGATTCATAGAATAATATAGTTCTTTATCTTGCTGAAAATACAAGGTGATGCAAACTTTTTTCTTTTTGTACTGCATTATTACTGTAAGTTCATAGCAAGATTATGCTCCCTTTGTTTTGATGTCTACTCACATGAAAACAACTGCGACACCCAGTTTTCAGGCTTTAGACTTGGCACTTCCAAATCATCATATCAAAGAGGATTTTTGTATTTTAAATAGCGAAGTTCAAACATGACATATAAATGAAATAGCTGCAACAGCAGTAAACTTACTAATGAAGTGGAGTGGGTTTTTTTCATTTTTATTAGATAGCAATTAGAGGATTGGGCCATAGGAATCAGTAGTCTCTTGCAAGAAATACAGTC